AAACAGTTAACAAAACCAAAAGACAGCCGACAGAAGAAGATATTTGTAAAGGACATATCAGATAAAGAGCTAGTATCCAAAATCTATAAAGAACTTATCAAACGCAACACCCAAGGAACAAATAATCCAATAAAGAAATGGGCAGAGGACATGAACAGACACTTCTGCATAGAAGACAACCAGATGGCCAACAGACACATGAAAAAGTGTTCCACATCACTCGGCATCAGGAAAATACAAATCAAAACCACAATGAGATACCATCTCACACCAGTCAGAATGGCTAAAATTGACAAGTCAGGGGATGACAGATGCTGGTGAGGATGCAGAGAAAGGGGAACCCTCCTACACTGTTAGTGGGAATGCAAACTGGTGCAACCACTCTGGAAAACAGTATGGAGGTTCCTCAAAAAGTTGAACATAGGGCTACCCTACGACCCAACATTTGCACTACTGGGTATTTACCCTAAAGATACAAATGTAGTGATCCGAAGGGGCATGTGCACCCGAATGTTTATAGTAGCAATGTCCACAATAGCCAAACTATGGAAAGAATCTAGATGTCCATCAACAGATGAATGGATAAAGAAGATGTGGTGTATATATACAATGGAATACTATGCAGCCATCAAAAGAAATGAAATCTTGCCATTTGCGATGACATGGATGGAACTAGAGGGTATTAGGCTTAGCAAAATAAGTCAATCAGAGAAAGACAATTATCATATGATCTCCCTGATATGAGGAAGTTGAGAGGCAATGTAGGGGGTCTGGGGGATAGGAAAGTATAAATGAAAGAAGATGGGATCAGGAGGGAGACAAACCATAAGAGACTCTTAATCTCACAAAACAAACTGAGGGTTGCTGGGGGGAGGGTGGTATGGAGGGTGGTTGGGTTATGGACATTGGGGAGGGTATGTGCTATGGTGAGTGTTGTGAATGTAAACCTGGCGATTCACATACCTGTACCCGTGGGGCAAATAGTACATTATATGTTAATTAAAAAAAAAAGAAGGTGTGGTCCATCAAAAAATATGAAATCTTGCCATTTGCAGTGATATGGATGGAACTTAAGGGTATTATTCTAAGCAAAATAAGTCAATCAGAGAAAGACAATTATCATATGATTTCATTCATATGTGGAATTTAAGAAACAAAACAGTGGAGCAAAGGGGAAGGGAGGGAAAAATAAAACAAGACAAAGTCAGAGAGGGAGACAAACCAATAGAGATGCTTAACTCTAGGAAACAAACTGAGGGTTGCTGGAGGGGAGTTGGGGAGGGGGATGGGGTACCTAGGTGAATAGTATGAAGGAGAGCATGTGATGTTATGAGCACTGAGTGTTATGTAAGACGGATGAAACACTGAACTCTACTTCTGAAACTAATAATACACTACATGTTAATTAACTAAATTTAAATAAATGTATTAAAAAAGGAGCATTCAGAGAACTATAATGGTTTTGTCAGGATGTTAGAATTATGACTATAAATGATCTCTGCTTACATTTCTTTTATTCTGTAACAATGAAAACAAAAAAGTAAAATAAATTCACTCAAGTCAGGGACCACAAATTTTGTGGTCTGGTTGTTTGTCTTTTCCATGATCCAATCCCATGCTCCCAGGAAGGACTTTGCTGCTCTTCGTGAAGGCCACACCTGAGGCCAAGTGAAGAGTCAACACACCCATGTGTGTGAAGACACTGATCATTTGTCTTTGAAGCAAAGTTCAAGCTGTTTGCTATGCATTTTCCCAGGAATATCTTTCCAATAGTGGGAATAAATTGGCAATCATCTGCTCTCTCTGCCAGGGTTTCCCCATAATCAGTTTCATGAAATGAGAAGTCACGTGTTCTAGTTCCTATGTAGATTTGTAGATCCCAAAGGGAATAAAAAACACATAGAACTGACTCCTAGGAATAGAGCCTAAGTGTCTTCAATATGATGCTGAATAACCCCAACCCAACCACTATCAGAAAAAGTCCAAGTCCTTCCACGAGATTACTGTGGATTCGCATCGTTGTGCAGTTTGGCCAGAGAATTAGCCAGAGGTTAAGAGTAGATGTTAATTTTTACTATGTCAAAGATTCCCAACATGGCCTTATTCCTTGAGGCAGATTGTGATTTGTGGATGTGACATGCATACTCCTTGCCATCTTGGGAGACTGGTGACAATTATGGCTTTATACAGGATGACAGAGGAAAACTGGTCAGGGGCATTTTCCGAGTGGGTGGGAGGCATGGAGATCAGTCACGTGAAATGGTCCTTAGCTTGGCAGAGCAGGAAATGAGCCACCGACCAAACTTGAGGGCCCTGGAGGCATCCCAGTCAAGGGGCTCACCCTGAGGCAGGAGTCCTGGCGTGGGAGAGAAAAAGCCTTGATTCTCCAGGGACCAAGGGACCGGATATGAAGAGCTCCATCTCCCTGCTCTATAACTTCCACAAAGTAATCCAGCACAAAGGAATACTTGTCTTGATAATTCATCTTAGGAGTCAATCTGGAGGAGAATGAAGACAGAGATTCTGAAAGATTCCTTCAAATTGAACAATTCAGGTCCGGGTGCCCATATTTTGTGGATAACACACACAACAAACTCTTTAACTCTGAAGTGAAATCACCTGTGCTTTTCAAATACTGGGTGAGTGTCATAAACGGAAAGTCTTTGTGGGGAACCAGTATTACCAGAGAAAGGAAACATCACAAATTCCAGGGGTTTGGTTTTTAGAGCATATTTTATTTTACAATCATAGAGATTTAACATCTGCTAGCAGTGTAACACCAAAATTTAACATCAATCTATTTAAAACTCTTATAATGGGAACTATGTTTTTCAAAAATGGTAAAAAAAAAAAAAAACAACCACACACACAACAAAAACATACATATAGTACATCCACTTTCTATTCGCCAAGAAGATTGTCATTTTTGTTTCCATGAAATTTGTCAAAATATGTATGTCTGTATAATATTCACATTCTGGAAGGCAAGAGAAATCTTCAAATTTAACTGTAAATTTAAACATTTTATTTGTGTATGTGTGTATGTATGTATACATATACATATATGTATACATACATACATATATACATATAACTTAGAACAACCAAAACATTAAAAATAGCAGCAACGTTCATCTTTAAATATTATAATGTTATAGTACATTGTTCACATAATGTAGATCTATTTTAGTAGCTTTTTCATTATTAATATCTAATACAACATACAAACTTTAAGGTCCTGGTCTTATTGCCAAGTAATTTAGAACCTAGATTCAATAAATACTATGCAAATAATGATTATAAAACACAGACTACAGAACATTTTCTAGACCAGAAAAAAAATCATACAGAAAGGTTTTAGTGGAAAAATCAGGTCTCAAGGAGGTTCAGAGACATGTAAGGAAACTGCATGATTCCCAAGGCAAAAGAGATGACCTGACAAGCTCCCTGAAATGTTGAATTGAATCCCAGGAAATGTGTCAATGGGGACAAGAAGGCACTGCCGTGTCTTTGTGAAGCCATGTTTCATTGGAATATGGCATGAAAGTGATTAACAACTGGAAACTTTTCAGGGATAGAATCATTTCTCACCAGGAGGCAAGACACTGGACAGGAGATCAGTATTTATTTTTCAGCCTTTACATTTATTCTGATGGCCAACAGCATAAAAAACAAGATTACAGCAGGACCTTGTGTACTGAAGCCTAGAAGGTAGAAAAAATTGATCCAAGCCACTGGATCGATGCGCTGATCCTGTTGGCTTAAAATGAACTCGAGATGTGGTAACAGGGATTTCTTTGAATCCAGCTTCATTTACAGAAGTTGTTCCTGTAACTGTGACTTCTTTTATATTTCAAAGGTTTTGCAGAAGAAGTAAATGGTTAGGTCTCACAATGGGGCTGGATCTCTGTCTGCCCTGTGATGAGACTGAGCTCTGGTATTTATTGTTAACAGTTTGTCTTCATTTTCAAATCAGTTCACACACTATTTTAATTGATTGTCTCTCTCTCTCTCTCACACACACACACGAATGTGTGAGGAAGCCAGGGTAGGCATCCAAGTACTCACTTTCAAGACCAGAAAAACTGAGGCTCCCAGCGATCAAAATGACTTAGCTTGTCACAGACACAAACACAATCAAACTTTAAGTGTCTTCTGCAGAACTTAACTCTATCCAACAGTTACTTATTTATTATTATTATTTTTTTTAGATTTACTTATTTTGGGGTGGAGAGAGGCAGTGGGAGAGAATCTTAAGCAGACTCTTCACTGAGCACAGAGCCCCACATGTGAGGCCCGATTTCATGACCCTGAGATCATGACCTGAGCTGAAACCAAGAGTCAGACACTAAACTGACTGAGCCACCCAGGGGCCCTCAACAGTTACTTATTTTTAAGAAGAGGAGTTTGGTCATAGTTGTTTCTGGAGAATAAAGTAATTTGAAGGGGGTAGGGGGAAAAGAGGAAGAAAAATGAGTTCCAGAGAAGAAGGGGAGAGAAGTGGTGCCACTTGGCTCTCAGTATCATAAACTTTAAAACCAGCAAAGTACATTTCACAGGTAGAACACAGGCATTTACAAAAATATTTACTCTAGTCTTCCAAATAGTCTCATACTGGCCTTGATTACTACATCTTTATGTAGATGCTGAGGCTGACACTGAAACGTAAGATCAGCAAAAAATTTTTACATGAGTTCCATGATTTCCCAAGAGACAAAAAAAAAATTCTACAACCTGTTCTCAGGACCCTGCTCCTGTCCCACTTCACCCCTGGTACAAGACAGTGACATTAAAATAGATGTATGTTTGATTCGTCTGGTAGTTTTCTAAGGTGTAGGTTTTACAAAATACCATTAATGAATATTCTTCCTATGTCATTAAGAAATTTAAATTTTCCTCTCTCTATCTAAGCTGAGGAGACTTCAGTAGACTTAAACAGTTTTTGTAAGTTTAAGCTTGGATTCTATTTGGATAGTTATTAGAGACTTAAGTAAAAATTTTAAACGACCATGATAGTTAATTTAGAAAGCTGTCATATTTTACACAACCTTTTCAAGAAAATTCAGTGATTCTTAGCTTAAGGTTCCATAAAACAAAATTACACTAATTCCACTATAAAAGAACCCTACATATAATGATAATCTTTGAGCTAGAAGACTTAGGTTCAACATTTGGGAGTGTAATACTTTCAACTATTAATCAAGTTCTTATATTTAATCAATAATTTTAAAGAACTAATTGAATTAAAAAGAGATCATTCATGAAGCCATTGTGTAACATGATGCAAAAGTCCTACAGATCCCTTTGTTTCTCTTCAGGCACCACTTATCCCAATCCCCCCGGCCCCCCAACCAGCCTCCCTGACATTCACCCACTGTAAATGCCCCGCCAACAGAGTCTTTGGACTCTGAACTGAAAGGGTGAGGCACCAATAGGAAAATTATGCTTTGGCAAGCAGGAAATTGGACAATTGTTTGAGCTTTCCTGAGGTAATGGTTTCTCCTTCAAATATTCTAATGGTTAAGAAAAGTCTAGGGAGCTGAATTAAAAGACAAGTGGAGTTTTGTTCACTGAACATAAACACTACCCTGAAATTGGTGGTTCCAATGGTTACATGATTATCCCACACTCCAACACCTTTTCTGTAGAATCTTGATTGCTATGAGGAAAATGTAAGATATTAAGGTTGCTGTGGGGCTAGGGCAAGCCTTGAAGGCATTGTACAACTCATTACAATTTGGATTTAATTCCTACGTGTTTCTATAAAAGTACCTGGCATACAGTTGGAGCTCAGTAGTTTCTGAGCTCTGATGATGGACTGTTTAGAATCTCTGATTTAGCTCCATAAGGTTACAAGGAAACAAACATAAAAACACCCAACCAAATTCAGGCTAATTGTCGCCTTTGTGCATGGAATTATGGACACCTCGCAAACTATGAGGAGTTAAGTTCGAGTAGAACTGGGCATGGTAGAGCACACAAGTCCATAAGAACTCTATTTATCAGACAGCTTCCTTCTATTATGATTTCATCATGATGTGATTATGGGATTTTTAGCCATAAGTAATTTTTTTGAAGATAAAGTGATCCATTGTCTCTGCTGCTCTTCAAGCATTTCCGCCAGGCATTTAATCAAGACAGGATCCACCTTAGAATCAAATTTATTAGCAAACCAGTGCCCGTCGTTTATGAGCCACCTTAATTCTGCCGCCCCAAAGATACACACACTTCGAAGGTGGGAGCCCGTACATCGCGGATACAAGACGCCTTCATGATAGTTCCATTTGACAAGGCGGGTCTTACTCTGTAAGTCAGACACATCCTGGGCTGACCTAGAAATCTCCCCAGGTACTCCTGGTACCCGAATTAAGGTAGCCCAAAAATGTTCATCCGGCGAGTACGTATCTTCAGACCAGGCAAAAAAGTCTTTAACGAGGGAGTTGTTGAAAATGGATTTCACAAATGCCCGACTTAAAACAAAATAAGCGCTGCCAACAAATATCTCAATGTTATGTGGGGGGGCTTCCTTGGAGACGTTTGTCCTTACTGGTAGCTTCACATATTCATAAGGCACCTGTCTGAGTTCATGGTGATAAGTGAATCTTTCCATTTTACTATTTGGGGGTTTCACGGTTTCTAACATATTTGCTCCGTTGAGTTTCTTCAACTCTGACACCAATTCAAAATTTGACTTCAAAGGAAAATCTTGCCCACACAGATTGATAATGTATTTCCACCGAACTGAGGATTTGAGGAGGTCTGACAAGCAATTCAGATCCGCCTGGAGTCTGGAAATATGTGCGTATTGCACTGTCTCTAATTTGGAGGCAATGAAAACATTGGAAAAGCACTTGGCTAAATTGTTCATGGCAACTTTGAAGACATCAGGCGACTTATGGTCATAGTGGATGCAGTAAATATTGTGTTGGTGGTATATAGCATGGAGTAGCCTTTCAACCATAATGGCGTCTTTATGAACGACCAAAGAGTAAGCTATTGGGAAGCTCTTCTCCTCCCTTGAAACGGGCTTTTGATGGTACCTTCGGAGGGTCTGATAAACGTCACAGTCACTGGTTATTGCCACGACGTCCTCATCATCCAAGTCAATGATGTCTCTCCTTCTTATTTCCAGACTCTTGCCGATTTCCAAAGGTGCCTGTTCATAGACCCCTGAGCAGTTCACGTCATACCTGACTTCATTCTTCACATTGGTGTACCTGTTTCTTACAAAAGGCGAGGTACTCAGGAAGGACTCCACCAAGTAAACACCTCTTTGAGGGAAAAAGAGGCTTTTCACATTTAGAAGCTTCAACAGGGAGAACAGCCACAGAGTTACAAATAAGATGAAAACCTTCTGCTGTGCTGGGTATTTAAAACAACATTTGAACGTCTTCATTCTGTAAGAGGAAAAAGAAGTAATTCAGTTGAAATACGAGAAAGAGAACTAAGAGAAAATTAGTTCAGTTCAATCAAAATTCACTGGGTAGTACCTTTCACATGCCAGGCAGAATGCTGGGCCCCAGGGTAAATAAGACAAGGTTCTCACCGTTATGAGAATCCAGAAAAAAAAATGAATGAGAATATACAGAATGGTAGTATTTTGTGGTATTCTGTGTTAACTATATCTGAATTGTGAGAGATGTTGGTTACCAAACAGAATGGCCAATTACGTAAACTCCTAAAATATGGGTACTGTGTAACTTTTATTGTCTGCATTTCTGCTTAGCATATTTGGGGAGAGATTACTCTGGTTTGGGCAGAACTGGTCTACACAGTTAGATGTCATTTAGGGGTCAGAGGAGATGCGAATGCCCCACCTGAGCCTAAAAGGGGCATCCATGGTGAGTGTCCCTTCAGATCCTTATGAGATTTAGATCTGAAGTCAGATGGGGAAAGCCCATTGCTAGAGACTGAATCTTTATGTCTCTCCCAGATTCACATTATGAAACCTAAGCCCTGGGGTGATGGCTTTACGAGGCGGAGGCTTTGGGAGGTGGTTAGATCATGGGGGTGGGGCCCTGGTTGATGGGAGTAGTGCCTTTGTAAGAAAAGACCCCAGAGAGCTCCCTTTTCCCTTTCACCACGTGAAATATGGATTAATTACATCCACACCATAGTGAAAAAGTCTGAGACAAGTCTGCATCTGCCCTGGTGAGATGATTCCCATATACACAGTGAAAGGGAAATGAGCAAAATGTGTAGCTGTGTACAGCGTGCTCACATGTGTGTCCAAAAAAAAAAAAAAAAAAAAAAGATACAAATAACATCTACACCCAAAGAGCACATGTAGTGGGAAAGCAGCTGCAGACAACGTGTAAACAAAAGGGCTTGGCTGTGTTCTAATAAAACTTTATTTACGGAAAGGCAGGTGGCTGGCTATTTCCAGAGGGATACTGTATAGACACGACACCAGGAAGAGGAGCTGCTTTGCAGGGCGGGATGGGACAGGATGGGGGATTAGCAGCCTGGGTAGGAAGGAGATTTATTAATCACCAAATATCCTTCTGTATTTGATTTTTTAAAAATGATTATATGTTTTTCAGATAAAAAATAGGCTAATCGAACAGAGGCACAGATGAATTTATTTTGGAAGCAGCAGGAAGGAGAAATCAGAGAGCAGCATCCCAAGGTCTGAGGACAGGAGGGCCAGCTGGGTTCATAGGGCTGTTTCAAAAAAGTTCAAATCCTGAGACCTGGGGAGGTCTAAGGAGCCCACGTGCAATTTCTTAATGATGAGGGAACAGAAGGCTGGCTGAGGACAAAGCAAAAGTTGACACCCTGCAACCTTCCCCCACCCCCACTCCTGGGTGGGACAGATGGGACAGTCTTTAGGAATCTCCCAACTATCTTAATGTTAATACCTTGCTAGAGGGGAAAACCTTGTCAATGGCAAGGCCTCAAGGCCTCCGGTATCTTGTAGGTCCTCTTTAGCACCTGAAAGTTCTTTTGAAACCTCCCTTTTTTCTTACCTCCCCCAACCCCATAGTACATAACCTTCCACCCCTCACAACCCGGGGCAGCAGCTCTTTCTGCCCACGGGTCGTGTCCCCATGCTTTAATAAACCACCACTTTGCACCAAAGATGTCTCAAGAATTCTTTCTTGGTCATCAGCTCCGGACTCCACCCCACTGAACCTCACTTACATTCTAAAACTTCATCATTAACACATATCAGTAAATTTTACATGAGGACATAATTATTGCTCCCAATTTCCTTAGAATTAACAAGCCATTTGAACCTGATTAATTTTTGCATATTTCTTTACGGGTTAATTGAACTAGCTCTCCTGGGAAGGGCAGGGCCTCGTTCACCTTTACTGGAAAGACTTTTTTAAAAGAACAACACCTAAAAAAAAATAATAATAATAAAAAAAAATAAAGAACAACACCTTACTGACAACAAACTGTCCTCCCCAATCCCATCACAGTCTCTCCCGGGTGGGTTTCCCTGGGGTCCTGTTTCTCAACTGATCTTCTCACACACTCTGTCCCTAGCTCTCTGGACTGTGACACGTGGCTGACACCTTTGTCTCCAGCCTCACTTGCTGCCCAGGCTTCTGACATGAACGTCCAGTTGCGTGATGGACATCTCCACATCTCCACCAGATATCCCGCAGGCACCCTACCTCCAATGAGTCCCAGACTGAACCTGACAACTCCTCTCCTGTGTTTTTGTGTCAGTGTATGGTGAGACCAACCACTCAATAACCCAAGCTTGACATGAGAGAGCCAGAATCTGACTCTTCCATTTCCCTCACACCCACATTATCAGATCATCTCATAAAGACCATCCCTTCTTCAACAGCATTAACTGATCAGCATCCAGGGAATCCCAGCCAGGCTTGTGGCCCAGGGTCTCAGCTTTCTGCTCCTCCGAAGCAAACTGAAGTGGGTTCCATACACTCAGGCTCAAGCCCAAGGTCCCTACCAGTTGTTACAGAGCATGGGAGAATGGATTCCGGACACAAAGGGCCACACAAACTGCAACCCTGGAAGCTTGAGCATGCACTCAGAGGTATGTGTTGTGATAAAATTTGACTTACAAGATTCATCAATCCCAAATCAACCTATCTCATCATTGTCCTAATGCATGGTAAGTAGGCATACATAGGAAGGAGCTTACATAAATGGTTAGGATTAGAATGAATCCTACCCAAAGTAAATTTTTGCTTTTTTGTTTCTCCCTTTATTGGTCTATGGGCTCTCTACTTAGCGTCCATTACTAGTTCCCCCTGATACACAGTGGTAAAATGAAAATATCCCTCCCTCTCTTCTTTCTTTCCTCCCTCCCTTCCTCCCTAAGATTGTATTTATTTATTTGAGAGAGAGAGAGAGAGAGAGAGAGAGAGAATGAGTGGATAGGAGAGGGAGAAGCAGACTCCTCGCTGAGCTGAGCAGGGAGTCTGATGGCGGGACTTGATCCGGGGCCTCCAGGATCATGACCTGAACCAAAGGCAGACACCCAACCAACTGGGCTACCCAGATGCCCCAATCCCCTTAAATTTCTAGAGAGGCTTTCAAAGATTTCCAGAGTTGTGGTGTTTATGATGTACCATTTAACTATCATCTTCACATGTACATAAAAAGGCAAAGGCTGGCTCCCTATCCTGTCGTCCATTTCCAAGGGCTCCTTGCACCCAAGCTTCCCCATCCTTCCTGAGAACCCCTGGAGCACACACTTCCTGATTCCAGTCTGGTGCCTAGAAAGCCTGATTCGAGCTAGAGGGCATGGCTGCCTGCCCACAGAGAGAAGGTGACTGGGCACTGGTGGCAGGGGCGCTGTGAGAAGTCCTGTGGGATCTGGCTCTGGGTCGCATGTCTGAGCTTCACCAGCCAGGGATGAGAGGTGATTTTAAAGCAACGAGGGGAGGGAACTGGGACAGCCCAGGCATCTGGCTCTTGGATTCTTCTTCTCTTTTCCTACTCTGGGAATCTTTAAGGAGGAGAGCTCCTTACAGATCAGCCCTAGACATCAGGGGAACCAAGCAGCCCCCCAATACTACCCTGTCCCAAGTCATCAGGGGAGGTGTAAGCCCTTTGGTGTGAAAGAACTTTTGTCAAATCCTGAAAGGGACTGTGGGCTTCTTCCCGGCTTTGGTGAGAATCTCTAAGGGCACGAAAGCCTCAGGAAGTGAGAAACCACAGTTTCCAACCGTGGCTCTGCTTTCCTCTGGAGAGAATCTGTGTGTGATACCCATGGGGAGTCACAGAGGATACAGGTGGGCCGTGGGCAGGCACCTGCCCAGTGTGGCACCTGCCTCACCTCCCTGCCACCTGCAGCCTGAACTCAGGACTCCCCATGATGGGAATGAGCTCCTGAGGTCTGAGCAGACCTTGCTGGGGTCAGGCTGCAGTCCTTTGGGCCACATGGCTCCTAGGAGACGAGTGTAGCAACGCCACCTTCTGCAAACACCCAATGCCGGCTGCTTCCTTCTTCAGGCCCCAGGAGCAGGAAGCAGGCAGGCATTTTGCTGCCAGGAAGTAGTCTGATAATTACATTACAAATAAGTGCCCACCCACAGGAGAAGGGGTACTTCACCCTCCACCTGCCCAGACAAATAAGGAGCCCGGTCCACTGCGGAGTTTACTGCCACCCACGGGAACACGAGTCCCTAGGGAGGAAGACACGACTGAGAAGGACGTGATAACACGGCTGGATCTCTACAGTTCAGCCGAAATAAGGTCTGTTTGGATAATTCAATAAAAAACCAACCAAGACACTAAATGAGGCCTTTTCCACAAACCCTGTTCTTTACCCCGCCTTTCCAGGCACTGTTTACAGCCTTAAGAGAAACAGCAGGCACACAAAAGGTACACCCAGCTAAGTGATGATAATTGTAGTTAGGGCTAAGTGGCCACAACCATTAGCAGCTCTTCCTCGAACTCTCCTTCAGTCAGCAATCTCAAAACCCAGGACTGCCAAATAGCGCATGCTTGCCTTCCCGAGGGAGGAGGGAGAATGGAAAATCAGGACACGGAGGAGGAGGTGGCTGAGGACCAAAGCACTGACTCTGGTTTAGCTTAGGGACCAGGAATGAAGGATCTACCATCCGTATTTGCAGAATAGGTGTTCTCTGCTCCCTCCACTCCCCTGCCTCTCTTGCTCCCTCCCTGCAACACCCGCACTCCTCTCCAGTAACTCAGATGGGGAGGGCGGCAGGTGAGAGAGATAGTACGGGGTTGGGGAGAGCCTTCAGGATATTTAACCTCTGAAGCCCAGTTTTCTTGTCTCCAAATGGGAATGAGAAATCCCCTCGAGCTGCTGCAAGGGCACAGGAGCCCCTGCATGTGAATGGGGTCACCCCACAGAGAGGCACAGTGTACCTGACACCTGTGCCCATCTTGCCTGGCTCCAAACCTGGGGGTTTCTAGTACATTACACAGGATGCGCTGACAG